GATCTAAAGCCGATGTTTCCTCCAGAAACCTACCAAGCTGTTCAGCCACCGCTCTCTCAATTACCTTACCCAGATATGGAAGATTTGAAACTGGGCGGTAATTGGATCTCTGGTTTAAACTACAGAGCCTAGGACTTGCCGATCAAAAGGTTGGTGATTCGAATCCCCACAACGGGGTGAGCTCCTGTTGCTCAGTCCCTGCTCCTGCCAACCTAGCAGTTCGAAAGCACGTCAAAGTGCAAGTAGATAAATAGGTACCACTCTAGTAGGAAGGTAAACGGTGTTTCTGTGCGCTGATCTGGTTCGCCAGAAGCGGCTTAGTCATGCTGGCCACATGACCCGAAAGCTGCACGCCGGCTCCTTGCACGCCAATAAAGCAAGATGAGCGCTGCAACCCCAGAGTCAGCCACGACTGGACCTAATTGTCAGGGGTCCCTTTAGCTTTACCTTTAAAGGATCTAGTGAAGTTTTCTTTAAGAACGGACACACCACTGCTTCTTTCAGTGCCACATCTAGACAAGCCCTAATCACCCAAGATGGGCACGGATTGAGGAGGCAGGTGGTGGGCCTACCAGCTTGGAGGAATCTATTCACATCAGCAGGGAGTATCCGATCGAAATGGTCCAACACTGGACCCGAAGACAGTCAAGGGGCCTCCAGTTAAGTCACTGTATCTAAATTGGCAGGGAGGATACGGCGGAGAAACAGGACTTTCTCCGCAAAAAAGCTCGCGAATGCCTCACAGCTGTGGGTCGAATTTGTGCTTAAATTTGGTTGTCCTCCTAAGGACGTTATCGACCTAATTATTCTAAAAAGTTGTGCCGGGCGAGAGCTAGCGGATGCAATGGAAGCTGCGAAGTAAGATTTCTTAGCAGCTTTAATAGCCATCTCATAGGCTTTCATAAGTGTCCTATAAGATGTTCTTGAAGCTCCATCACGAGTCCATCGCCATACTCGCTCTAGCTGTCTGAGATCCCGCTTCATTTTCCGGAGCTCCTCAGTAAACCAAGGGGCCCGGTTTTGATGGGGTCACAGAGGGTGCTTAGGCACGATCTCATCTATGGCCGGCAAGAGCTGGTTATTCCAGTCCTCGACGAGGTCATCTAATGAGTCGCCAGGAGGAGCAGGGTCCCACAAGGCCTGACGGAATCTATCAGGATCCATCAGCCTTCGCAGGCAAACCCAAATAGGCTTGCCACCCGAGCAGGGGAGGAGCGGGAAGTCAATCTTGGCTTTTAGAGCGTAGTGATCAGACCATGGCTCTTCCAGAGGGGGGAGCATGATCACATCTATGTCAGCACCAAAGATCAAATCCAGCGTGTGACCTGCTTGATGAGTGGGGCCCAAAACAAATTGGGAGTGCCCTAGTGTTGCCATGGAAGTCACTAGGTCCAGAGCCTGTGAGGAGGGGGCGGCATCGGCATGGACACTGAAGTCTCCCAAAACCAATAGGCTTGGGAACTCCAAGGCCCAGCCCGTCGCCACCTCCAGCAGGTCTGACAGGGTGGCTGCTGGTGCGCTGGGTGGTCGGTACACCAGCCAGACAGCCAAGCTCTCCTTAGTACCCCACACAAGACCAACACATTCAATGCCGGAGATCGCTGGTGATGGCAGAGCTCTGAAAGAGCAATCCTCCCGGATTAACAACGCTCCTCCTCCCCCCCGACCCACAGTCCGCGATTGATGGAGGACAGAGAAACCTGGGGGTGTTATCTCATGTAGGGAGACTACTTCGCCTTCCCATACCCAGGTCTCCGTCACGCAAGCCAGGTCAACCCCCTGCGAGAAAAAAAGTCACGCATGGTGGCGGTTTTGTTGCCTATGGACCTGGCATTGCACAGCACCAATGACGGAGGTGGGTAAACGCTGCTCGCCCTACCCTCGTCCCTTGGGATGGGGCGTAGATTGGAAGGGGTTCGAGCATCACTGCATCTCAAAACTCTTCGTCGATAGTGATATCTAGCCCCACCGCCATTCCAGTGGAAATCCCAGACCCCATACTAGCCTCCCCAATAGAGGGGTAGCATCCCCTCACTAACAAGTCATCCCTAGGCCAGGACTCCTGGGTCAAAATGATATAGGGAAGAGGTGAAGGTTTGATAGGGTAAGTACCCCAGAAGATAAAACCCAACCAACCGCACCCCAAGCGGGGAGGGCAGTCTCACAGTGTTTTGTTAACTGTCAATCCCCCTCTCCCTCCTGGATTGATTGGAGGACTGTTGGTTCCATCTGTGGCTGTGGGAGTATTAATGAGGCATGTGCTATAAAATATGGATCACTGGCCAACAAAGAGCCAGCTTCGAATTCGGAAGATCTGTCCATCCTGTCTCACCAGTAGAGAAGGTTGATTGTTCTGATAAATTTTTGGAACATTAGGGAAAGGTCCAGATGTAGATTGGGTGCTGGATTTCTCCAGATTGTCAGCAACATAGAGTTCTTTAGATGTTGTTGCCATAGAAATGTCAGAGGAAGAACCTTTATTGAACTACACCACTGGGAAACAGGGTCAAAGCAACTGCTTATATACATTCCTGAAAAGCCTGGGCCACTCCCACTCCCAACGTGACTGGCTGTCTAAACTTCCAAGCTGCAAATCACAACTCAGAGTTCAAGGGCCAATGGCAGAGGCCCAAATCCTGAAATGTTCTGTGATTGGACATCATGTATCAAATCAGAACACAGGAGCTCAGAATCTTTATTCCAGACTCAAGCTCAGGCAAACACAGACCACTGAACTTACAACATGCCTGATTTCTGCTGGGATCCAAGGCTGTGGCTATGGAAGAAGCAGGTCGTTCTTGGGGTGTTAACAATGGGAACCCCTACATCGTTGACTCAGCTTGTATATATCTGTGTAAATAAATGAGATATCCAAAAGACACCAGAGTCTCCACTGTTCCTCATTCGGAAGAAACCGATTTCTGGGTAAGCGCCTGGACCCCTTTGGAATCTCATTCCGCTCAGAGATTGGAGCAGCCTGCAACAATATTAAAATGTTTAAACAGAAATTCAGAGTTTTCTGTAACATAAGTGTGTGTGTGTGTGTGTGTGTGTCTGTGTTCTGTAGGTGGGGGGGGGGTTGTTGTGTTGGATGTTTGCTTGCTTGCTTGCTTTTTGTTTTGTTTTTGAACCTGTTTCATTTTCATATTCTGGGAAAGAACTGTTCCTTCCCAGAACGAATACTTGGCTTGTTGCAAGTATTTCCCAGCATCAGTACCTGTCCTGAGCCAAATTTCCTGGATTCAGATATCTCTACCTTTGCCAGTGTAGATCCCAAGAAGAGAAGCAGAGGTGCCAGCTTGCGAGGGCAATGACGTCACACACATAGTCTCCCAGCATTGCATGCATGACATTAGGACATCGTGGGGGGGGGGGGAGTTGAACGAAGCAGCTGCAAGGTGTCAACGACCAGTGGCTCCTCCTGCCGCTATCATTGGCGGGAGTCTACTTTGACCCTCCTTCCCCTCCATGGCAGAAAGAGGAAGAGAAGGAGAGCCAGCCAGAGAGCAAAAAGAAATTCTTTGCGATTTTTACATAGCGTCAGCAGATGATGAAGCCGCTCAGGCGCCTGGGGTGGCGCACCCAGAAGCAGGGCAGTCCACCCATAGGGGCGGGGAAGGGCGGAGTGAACTGCCCATAAGTGTGGGGCCAGGGTGGGGTGAGCCGCTATAGGGGCAGGGTGAGGGCGGGGTGAGCTGCCCAATAGGGGTGGGGTGAGCTGATATTGGGGCCGGGTTAAGGGCGGGGCAAGCAGCCCATAGGGGCGGGGTGAGCCACTATAGGGGCAGGGTGAGAGTGGGGTGAGCTGCCCATAGGGGTGGGGTGAGCCGCTATAGGGGTGGGGTGAGAAGAAGAAGAGTTTGGATTTGATATCCCGCTTTATCACTACCCGAAGGAGTCTCAAAGCGGCTAACAATCTCCTTTCCCTTCCTCCCCCACAACAAACACTCTGTGAGGTGAGTGGGGCTGAGAGACTTCAAAGAAGTGTGACTGGCCCAAGGTCACCCAGCAGCTGCATGTGGAGGAGCGGGGAAGCGAACCCGGTTCACCAGATTACGAGTCTATCGCTCTAAACCACTACACCACACTGAGGGTGGGGTGAGCTGCTCATGAGGGTGTGGGAGAGGCAGCGGGCAGACCGTTTGAGGCAGTGTGGAGCCTGCGGGTGCCCAAGCCATCGTGTCTCTACAGGCCCCTTGGTGAGTGCCGCCCGGCATTTTGTCACCCCTCTCAGTGGTGACACCCGGGGTGACCCACACCCACCGCACCCCTCTTCCTCTGCCCCTGTATAGCATTTATTTCTTTTGGAGAAAAGGCAAGTAAGAATAGACATAAGAGATTAAAAAAATATATATCAGTCTTTGTGCCAAGCCAGAAGGACCAATGAAAGAAGAGGCGAGGAGGACAATTCCACCCTTTTTAGTTCTGGCTTGCCCTGTTGGCTTCAATCAACTAACAGACATTACTGTACTGGAACTGGTTTTAGTTGCAGCTGCTGGAAAGTGGTCTGAATAAACAAGTTTGGTGCCAGCTAAAAACATTATTGTGTAGCTAAGTCTGCCAGTTGCTTTATAATTCTATAGAATTATAGAAACCAATGCTCTTTTTAATTTTCCACAGGCATTTTCCTGCCATTATAACACATTTAATTTTCTTTTACTATAATACCTCCCTTGCTTCAACCAAGCTTGTCATTTGTTAGTCTCAAACTCAGCAATCGCCAAGTTGCCAACTGGCACCGGGACTTCAGCAGCTGTTTCTCTTTCTGCACATTGAGGGTGATCACATTCCCCGCTGGGAGGTTCTGCCCTTTGTTTGTGGGGTTGATTTTAAATCATGCTAAAAATTCTTTTTCACTTCATGCCTAAGAATGTATTCAGCCCCTGAGAGGGTTGCACTGCTCTCTGAAGCAGGGGAGAAGACCTTGGGCAATTGAAACAATCTCTAGATTCAAGCTGGGGGGTGAGATTAAAGGCTGGGCGGGGGGAGCTGGAGCCAGAAATGGCTGACTAGGACTTCGCGGGCGATAACGAGGAAGCCGGGGAGGGGGAGGAAGAGGCGATGAGTAGCAGGGACCAATCGCTTTCAAAACAGTTTCTATTTTGCTTCTTGTGGGCTTGGTCGGCAGCAGATACTTGTTCCTGCAGAACCTGGCGCTGGATTGATTCTCCCAGAAGGTAAAAAGAATTCTATAATATATTGGAGGAGGGAGAAGTATTGGGAGGGGGAGGAAAGGGAGATAGGGAGATGGGGAGGGAGACTGGAGAAAGGAGGAGAGGAGGAAGGGGGAGAGGGTTTGGGGCTGAAGAAAAAACATTTCTAAAATAAAATAAGCAGTGCTCTTTTTCTAAAAGAGGGTACTCTTTTGGGGTACTCTCATTTTGACTCTAGAAAAGTACCAATTTATAGCTAAAATCGGGAAAAAATAAATACAGTAACAGGACAGGACAGAGAAGACTTAGTCCAAAAGGTGGTTTTTTATTTTTTTAAGGAAACCCAGAGGGGAAAACACAAATCCTCAGACCAAAATTTGTGGTTCTGCCAAAATAGAAAAAAATCTACAATGTATGGGGGGGGAGATGGGGAGGGGAGGAAAGGGAGAGAGTGAGATGGGGAGAGGGAGATTGGGGAAAGGAGGAGGGAAAGAGGAAGAGTTGACGGCTGAAGAAAAAACATTTCTACAATAATATAAGGACGGCTTTGTTTGATTGGGGAGACTCCATAATCCTTTTGGTGGTTGTGAGGGAGGAGAGGGGAGAATGTTCCTTGTGCAAGGAGAAATCCTGGTGCTGACAGAACGTTCTCTAGGCACTGCTAGGAATACAACCCAAAGTTCTCACCCCCTCATTCAATATAGTGGGGAATAAAAAAATGGCTATACTGTTGTTCAGGCTTCAGAGAAAAGTGGAAGAAATTTGCAGAAATATGAGCCTCTCTGGATTAAGCCTGCCAAATTTTAGGCAGACCTGTTCGGAGGTTTTTGTGCCAGACACCTTTATTAAAGTGGGCCAGACCTCACTATTAAGTTGTGGGTGAACATAGCAGACGACACAAAGATTTCTCCAAGAGGTTCTTTATACAGTAGTAAGCTGGAACTGAACTGAACTCAAACAGCTCAGCCGTCCTGCTTTTATAGGCAGCCAGCTGTCAACAACACCCCAGGGTTTGCCGCCTAAATTAAATGAAGTGGACCTGAGTGAAAACTACATACACAATACCCCTGGTGGCCAGGATGAGAACTTCAATACATAACACTCACCTGGAGCACTGTGTCCATTTCTGGGCACCACCATTTACGGAGGATGTTGACAAGCTGGAAGGTGTCCAGAGGAGAGCGACATTTCTTTATAAGGCTTGGAAACCAAGCTTAATGAGGCGCAGGAGCTGGCTATGTTTAGCCTGGGAAAGAGGAGACCGAGGCAGTGGCGTAGCGTGGGTTGTCAGCACCCAGGGCAAGGCAAGTAAATTGCGCCCCCTAACCCATGGATTTGCGCCCCCTAACCCTAACCCCCAGATGTTGCGCCCGGTGCGGCCGGCCCCCCCTGCACCCCCCACGCTACGCCACTGGACTGAGGGGAGTTAACAGTAGCCATCTGCTACTCTCTATTTCTCAATGCCAGGCCAGTGGGTGGTCCTATATTTGCATAGTAGCTTTCCAATTAGATATTGCTGTAAGTTCAGCAGAGGAGATGGGGGGGCTAGGCTGCATGCCTGAGACCCTGCTAATTCCTAGATCCAGCAAGGGCTAAAATCTTGGTAATGGCCCCTTAAGTGTGGGTCAGGAGCGTGGCGGAGTCAAGCGAGGAAGGAGATGGAAGAAAGACAGGCTCTGACTCTGAATCTGACAGGCTGCAGGAGGAAGCAGACCCAGCCCCCCCTTTCCTACCAAGATTCAAGCACAGAGAGTTTCCAAGAAGGGGGCGTAGAGGCTAGGCAGCCAGATAGGCAGAGGATTGACAGCTCTTCTCTGGAAAGGGTAGAATTTCCCGACCCTCAATCCTGAAGAGCTGAAATGGTGAGATTGCAAAGGAAGTAGAAAAGGGGAAAACAGGTTTTCCTGTTGTGACTACAGTGATGACTCCGAGTAACCAACTGTGTCCATTTCTGGACACTGCAATTTAAGGAGGATGTTGACAAACTGGAGGAGAGTGACATTTCCTCATAAGACTTCATGAGGAGGAGGAGCTGGGTAGGAGGAGACGGGGAGGAAATATAATACACTAGCCATCTTCAACTATCTCAAGGGCTCCTCCCTTTCACTTTTCTCAATGCTTTCATTTCATCAAGAAGATGTAGAAACATGATTATAATCATTTAGACTAAAAAGAAGCAATATTTCATACCTGAATTTCCAGACCTGTAAATTGGTATGTGTAAGACCACCTTCAGGGCTTTTTTTGGGGGGGGCTATACTAGTATGGAAGCAAAACTGCACCTTTTAAAGACTTCAAGAAGAGATGATTTATTTCTCTGCTCTGTAATTTTGTCTCCATAGAGGAATCTTGGGACGTTGATGCTATGGCAAAAACTGATGTGGTGATTTTTTTTCTGGCAAAAGCACAGAATTGATGCTTCAGACTCTGAAGAGGCTTTCGTTTCATTAGGAATAAAATGAGTCACGAAGACAAAACAGGGAAGTGGAAAACATATTAAGTGCAGCTTGGCTGGACAAAGTATCCGATTAAAGCACGCAATTAAGTAGTATTTAAAAAGGGTGTTTTCTCACCACATCACCTAGCCATACTGTGCTTGAATCTGCAATCCAGTGATCTGCTTTCAACATATCTCAAGAAATTGCAAAACTCAGTGTAACTAGAGCTGAGTAGCATTTACTGTGAGGTCTCTGGATCTTCCTGGGAGAAAGAAAAGATGGGTTTCTCTGAAATTGAAAAGACAGGGCAAAAGCTCCCTTTGAATCCAGATGCAGCAGAGAATGGGGAATGTAGTGGAATCACAAGTAATGGAAGCACCAAACAAGCAAGAGAAGTCTTCTCTCCGAAACCAGGCCATTTTCCATATGGTAAGTGAGTTCTGATGAGAAAGGCATGAGTTTGTCAGAAAAGTTATGGATTTTCTGCTGGGATGAGAGCTGCAGAATGCAGGCCAACTAATCAAATTCATGGAGACGCTAATTTATTCAGGCAATTAAAAGCCATTGGAAAAGGATGGCTACATAGACACTTGTGTGAAACTCGAGGAAGGCTTCTCAGACTCTTCTTAGTTCCTCTCTCAGATGGAACTATCCTTCCTCACGCAGGCATGCATAAGGGGAAGGGGGTGAGGCTGCCCTTGAGGAGAGAGATTCCTGGCTGTTCTTCCCCTTCCCCTTCCATGTATATAGGAATATTTGCCTCTACACATTTGCCTCTACACATTGACTGTGGCATGATGGGAAGCCTCGCTGCCAAGCTTTGCTTCTAAGCTTTGTTTCTGCTTCTGCACATGATGCTACACACACCGTTCCAATACTGAGACATTCCCTCATCATCCCAGAATGTTCAGTCCACATTTTTGACCTGTTCTTAATGCTTAGTTGACCACATCTATTGGAAGGTAATTGTTTAAGTCTTAATATATTAACCATTGGTTATACTTTAATTAGGAGGTTTTCATGCCTGTCTAGTTCTATGCTCCCTTTCCCAGCCTTTAATCTATTAGTGATTAATGCCTATATGTAACCTTTACTTTGTACTTGTGTTAACCAATCAGCAACAAGTTACTTTGTACCTGTATTAACCAATCCACAACAAGCGCACTTGTGTTAACCAATCAGCAACAAGCGCACCTGTGGCAATGTTGTAATATGCAATAAAAGGGACTCCCCGAGACTTGCTCGAGAGAGACGCCTCCCAGATGACACTCGCTACTTGTCTGTCATTATTCCAACCCAACACATGTACACCAAGAATGGAGAGATTGTGGCTCACCAGATCTTGCTGGATTCCAACTCCCTCCCATCACTCTCTGCCAGCATGGCCAATGTAGAGCAAAAACATCTGGAGGATCACAAGATCCTCATTCCTGCTGCACACAGAGCTGGAGAGTAACTGATAAGCGAAGAGACCAGGAATCTGCAAGTGCAGAGGCACATGGTTCACAGCATTTACAAGCACAGTGGCACTTCAATCCTTTGTTGTTGTTGTTGTATGATGCCCATCTGATTGGGTTGAATGGTATACATTACAGTAGACCATACTGACATTTATATTTGAGTGGGTGATTTATAATTTTTTAATAAATAAATAAATAAAATTCTCAGCAAATTGAGAAGCAAACGATACTGTGCAAATCCCCTGGCATAGAACCCCTGTAAGACTGACTTCACAACTATGCCTTATGCAACACAATTTCAGAACATATCGTTCAAAACATATTGGTTCCTCCTTCTTCCAGGAACCCAATCTGACCAACCAAGTGTTGCCATGTTTACATGCTGGTGACATGGCATTAACTGGAAAAAAAAATATTATCTGCTGAAAGCAGACACTCAGAGCTGCATATTGCTGATGAACCACTTTGCTGGCTAGTCCTTACATTTGGACCTGGTTTTCTTTAACTGTCAGTTATGCCATCCTCAGCACAGAATTAATATAGCAACCTTAGTACACCTGCTAATCCTGGTCTGTGAACTACAAACTGCTATTTTGACTTATTTGGGTGAGGCAAGCTTGAAAATTCACTATCCTGTATTGAATGAATAAAGCTTCTTCTAGCACAGGAAAATGTTGTTTGGTTGAGCAATTCATTTTAATGCATTTTGTTTTGCACATTAATGGATCTACGCGTGATGTGTTGGAACCAACCCTATGTTATACAGAAATGTGCAAGAGCTTAAACTGTATCCCCTTAATGGTTTGTTTTACAATCAAGATTAAAATGGCTTCAGGTTATTCGCTTGAGGTTGTTGCGATGCATGAACAAAATATCCCATTCTGTTTCTACATAGGACAGAGATCTCCTGTCACTTCCATTCTGCCAGCAACAAAAACTTTCAACTTTTGTTTTGATGGCAGTTCAGATGCTCTAAAAGGGATGGGTAACTTGTGACCTTTGAGATGTTGTTGGACTACAATTCCCATTACCTGTGACCACTGGCAATGATGACTGGGGTTGATGGGAGTCCAGCAACATCTGGGGGGCTGCAGGTTACTCACCCCTGCTCCAAAGCCCTGTGTACACAGTTATAATATAGCAGTATATGACACTGCAGCTCCCTTGACTGGCACTGTTTTCTGGTAACAATCTTGGCAGCCAATGGATTTAACAATGCTGCCGCTATTAGGCAATTTACACTGACAAGCATAACTTCTTGAAGTCCAGCTTAGCAGGACAGATGTTACAACAGCTGCATTGCCAGGAGATGGGCTACTTACCTGTTCTGGATGGGATTACAAGCCTCAAAAAGAGCAAGTGCTCAGCTTATACAAACAGTGAAATTTCCCTGCTTGCACATGCGTACATACATTGGCTAACCGTTAATGATTCACACGACGGGTTGTGCTGCCCTCGTGACTTCTGGCATTGTCTGTGTGGCATTTGGCATGTAGAATCATAGAATCATAGAGTTGGAAGAGACCACAAGGGCCATTGAGTCCAACCCCCTGCCAAGCAGGAAACACCATCAGAGCACTCCTGACATATGGTTGTCAAGCCTCTGCTTAAAGACCTCCAAAGTAGGAGACTCCACCACACTCCTTGGCAGCAAATTCCACTGTCGAACAGCTCTTACTGTCAGGAAGTTCTTCCTAATGTTTAGGTGGAATCTTCTTTCTTGTAGTTTGGATCCATTGCTCCGGGTCCGCTTCTCTGGAGCAGCAGAAAACAACCTTTCTCCCTCCTCCATATGACATCCTTTTATATATTTGAACATGGCTATCATATCACCCCTTAACCTCCTCTTCTCCAGGCTAAAGATGCCCAGCTCCCTTAGCCGTTCCTCATAAGGCATCGTTTCCAGGCCTTTGACCATTTTGGTTGCCCTCCTCTGGACACGTTCCAGTTTGTCAGTGTCCTTCTTGAACTGTGGTGCCCAGAACTGGACACAGTACTCCAGGTGAGGTCTGACCAGAGCAGAATACAGTGGCACTATTACTTCCCTTGATCTAGATGCTATACTCCTATTGATGCAGCCCAGAATTGCATTAGCTTTTTTAGCTGCCGCATCACACTGTTGGCTCATGTCAAGTTTGTGGTCAACCAAGACTCCTAGATCCTTTTCACATGTACTGCTCTCAAGCCAGGTGTCACCCATCTTGTATTTGTGCCTCTCATTTATTTTTATTTTTATTTTTTTGCCCAAGTGCAATACTTTACATTTCTCCCTGTTAAAATTCATCTTGTTTGTTTTGGCCCAGTTCTCTAATCTGTCAAGGTCGTTTTGAAGTGTGATCCTGTCCTCTGGGGTGTTAGCCACCCCTCCCAGTTTGGTGTCATCTGCAAATTTGATCAGGATGCCCTTGAGTCCATCATCCAAGTCGTTGATAAAGATGTTGAATAAGGACCGGGCCCAAGACAGAACCCTGTGGCACCCCACTAGTCACTCTTCTCCAGGATGAAGAGGAACCATTGATGAACACCCTTTGGGTTCGGTCAGTCAGCCAGTTACAAATCCACTGAGTGGTAGCATAGTCAAGACCGCATTTTACCAGCTTATTTACAAGAATATCATGGGGCACCTTGTCAAATGCCTTGCTGAAATCAAGGTAGGCTACATCCACTGTATCACATTCCATTCAGTTCTTGCAGTCCCTTCAACTTTTGCTCTTAAAAAGAAACTGGATTACTACAGTGCTCTATGTGGGGCTGCCCTCCAGCCCAGCTGTGAAGCTCCAGATTTTGTAGAATGCCTAGACCTCTGATGGAGGCAGATGGTTGACAGTACGTGGCAGCTCTGCTAAAATGTTTGCAGCGGATGCACAAACTTGGCCCTCCAGCTGGATTGGGACCACAATCCCCATCATCCCTGACCACTGGTCCTGTTAGCTAGGGATGATGGAAGTTGTAGTCCCAAAACAGCTGGAGGGCTGAGTTTGCCTATGCCTGGTCTACATATACAAAGACCAGAACTTTGGTCCAGGATACCTTAAGGGCCACCTGAGCCCTTATATCACAGCTTCATTATTAGGATCATCCACAGGAGCACATCTCAGAAGCCCAAATAACCTCAGGTAGAAGTTGGACATTTAGCACCACCAGTTCAAGCTGTGAAACGCTCTTCCAGCAGAGATACATCCGGCATCTTCACTTTTGACTTCTAAGCATCTCTTGAAGACCTTTTCTTATGCCAGCAAGCCTATACAGCTGTTTAAAATGTTGTTGATCTCCCAGTTATTTTAATGATTTATATATTTATTTTACTATTTCTTCTGGTGATTTTTGTTTTATTGTAAAATATTATTGTGCAGCACCTTGATAGTTTAGGAGATGGTGGCATGAGAATACTTTTTAATAAAATAAATAACTGGTAACTCACCAGCCATTCGTAGAGGCCTACCAGTTGGCTGACTTTGTGGTGGGAGGCACCAAGCCTATGAGCTTCATGATTCCACAGGTGAACTTGGTTCATCTCATACCCTTCCAACATCCCACTGACCAAAATTAGGACGTTTCTTTTTTGGTTCCCAGCTGATCTGCACCAGAGCACCGGGACCAAAAAATGGGACATTATTGGATTCAATCAGAAGTCAGGACTGGCTTCTGTAATTCCAGGATGTCCCGCATAAATCAGGACTGTTGAGTGGTACGACATCTTGGTGTGATGCAACCTGAACTCACACCTTCAGTGTGGGTGGACGACCCAAGCCTTGGTAGACTTGGAGCCCCCCAGATATTTGGAGTTTCTAGAAGGACTTGTCCGGCAGCTTGCTGAAACCAAGGACACATTAACACTTTATTTCCCTCTGCAGGTTTGTGCAATAATGGAAAAGAGAAACTTCCTTTTAGACTACAAATTGCGAGCTTGGTGCTTAATGTCATTCTGACCATCTCCATCATCATCCTGGGCAGCATTGCTTTATTAAGTAAGTGAGGAGCCATTTTGCTGTAACTTCTGCCAGCTTCTCTACAGGCCACCTGTTCTCAAAAATCTCTCCTCAGCAGCTAGAATAGCTTTATTGTTATTCAGTTGAGGTAGTCTGGAAGCAGTTGCGGATGGGGGCCCACATTCAGTTAATGTATGTTTACTGTAATCTTTGTTTACTGTAATAATAGACTAATATGCACACAGAGATGCTTAAATTTCAAATGATATAAACAGCCTTCTGCAATCTGGTGCCCTTATTGCAAGAGCAGCTGGTGGGCTGGGATGATGCTGGCCTCTTGGCAGTAGCATTGTCGTTGTTTACCAGGTGATTGTGGGCAGGGGCGAGCAATCCGATTGGGTGCCCGGGGTGGCGGGGCCTGGTGTTCGCAGGGCTTCGAGGAGTCTGTCTGCCTCATCCCCTCAATCATCCTACAGCTGGGGAGGCAGCAGGTGGACCTTTTGAGCAGCAAGAGCCATGTCTCGGGCGCGCTGCAGGCCCCAAGGGTGAGTGGTGTCTGGATTTGTCACCTTTCTTGCGGGGGCACAATTAGTGCCAGCACCGTCCGTTAAGAGTTTGGGTGTAATCTTCGACACCCTCCCTTTCCATGGAGGCGCAGATTGCAGCTATAACAAAGGCGGCATTTTTTCATCTCCACCAAGCTAAGCAGTTGGCTCCTTACTCTCTCGCCCTGACCTAGCCACTGTGATCCATGTGACGGTCACCTCCAGACTGGATTATTGTAACTCGCTCTACATGGGGCTGCCCTTGAGACTGACCCAGAAACTCCAGCGGGTGCAGAATGCCGCGGCGAGACTCCTACGAGGTCTTTGCTGCGAGATCACATTCACCCGGTGCTACACCAGCTGCACTGGCTCCCGGTGGAGTACAGGATCAGGTTTAAGGTGCTGGTTTTGACTTTTAAAGCCCTATACGGCCTAGGACCTTCATACCTACAGGACCGCTCTCCTGGTATGTCCCACAGAGAAACTTACGGTCTTCAAATAAAAACATCTTGAAGGTCCCAGGCCACAGAGAGGTTAGACTGGCCTCAACTAGAGCCAGGGCTTTTTTCGGCTGTGGCTCCGATCTGGTGGAACTCTCTGTCATAAGAGACTAGGGCCCTGCGGGACTTGACATCTTTCCGCAGGGCCTGCAATACAGAGGTGTTCCACCAGGCCCTTTGGCCAGGGCACAGCCTGACTCCCTCCTTTGGCAATCTTCACGGAGCTCTGGCCCAATGGTTGCCATTGGTTGATTTGAATTAATTTTATAATGAATGGCTGTGTTGTACTGTTGTACTGTTTTATTGTTGTTAGCTGCCCTGAGCCCGGCTTCGGCTGGGGAGGGCGGGATATAAATAAAATTTATTATTATTTATTATTATTATTTATTAATTATTATTATTATTATTATTATTATTATTTCAGTGGTGGCACCCAGTGCAGCGTGACCCTATTGCACCCCTGTCGTTACACCCTTGAATGTGGGGTGGCTTGAACCCCACAGCAGGGGTGCCAGAATTGCTCTACCAGCACCCACACTGCCCCAACCTTGCCGCCACCCCTGAACCACCATAGTAAGCAGCAGTAATGTCCTTTGCCAATAGATTGACTCTACCCTGCCATTTTGGATTGTATTTACCCATTAGCCCCAGCCAGTATGGTCAATGGTCAGGGATGATGGGAGTTGTAGTCCAACAACATCTGGAGGGTTTTGTGTAAGCGGCCTTGTTTTAAAAGAATTCCAGCACCAGATGAAAAGGCCTGTACTGATGTGTGCATTTGTGAGCGCTAAGAATAAGGGTGGGGAAAACTGTGGCCCTTCTGACATAGTTGGGCTGCAACTTCCATTAATCCTTTTTGGAAGGGAAGTGGGAAGGGCTGGTGGAGTTCAAATCCAACGACATCTCATCCCTTGTCTAGTATGTGCAGGATATCACAAACAACCATAAGTGTGCTTGCTCAGAATCAAAAACCATTGCGCTTATTCCAAATAAGTAGGCTTAAGTATATGTATTGTATGTATTATATTTGGTATAATGTGTTGCACTGGTGATGTTTAATAAAGATATATATATAATATATATATATATATATATATATTAGGCTTAAGATGGTAA